ACATCCTAATAGCATTTGTCTTTGCCTTCCATGCCTTCCCATACTTGACTTCATAACCAAATTGTTTTTTCACCGTCCGCATGAGAAACCTCACTTTCACAATGGGATCAAAGCCTATGTCTTTCATCCATTTGTATCCGAGATACTCAGATGTGAGTTGACGATGTGTCTTTCAAAGTCGTTTAGATGGCGGTTTGCACCTATGAGTGGCAACACAACTTCTTAACACCCATTCTTCGGTGTCTTTAAGCTTTCTTGCACGAACCTTCCATGGGCATCCTTCTTGCTCACACTTCACGGTGTAACGCAACTTCATGTCGGAGTGCTCAACATAAAATGGCCTATGGTTCCGAATGGCATAGTCAGACAACCAAAACTTCAGCATAGGCAAGCTCAAAAACTTCACTCCTTTCTTCAAATAAGCATTCTCGTCCTCCTTCTCCTCCCTTGGTTCTCCTGGATCCGGGCATGGTGTTGGCTCAATCACCGTCATTCTCATTCCACCATCAATAACAACTTTATGGGCAAGGCTAAGATCTTTAAACAAGTGAGTTCTTTTTTCTAAGCCCGTCAACTCAAAGTGGATTTGGTTTTCCTCCTTTGTGAATCCATCCTCGTCCAACTGTTCAACTGGACCCTCGTCATCCGAGTCATATGCATATTGACGCCTAAAAGGCAACTCACGATCCATGTCCTTTTGCGCTATGTACGCATCCAAGTCACCAACATCATTACCATGAAACCTTTCCTCTTGCTCTTCGTCGTCATCATAAGCATCTTCATCATTTTGAATTACTTCGTCACTAGCAATCACCTCAACTTCATTTGCTTGGCTAGTTGGTGGTTGGCTAGAAGCATCGGGGGCATACAACTCAACCTCATTTGGTTCAATAGATGGTACACGGGTACGTGGTTGGCGATAAGCATTGGGGGCATCAACCACAACCCTATGCTCAACAAGTGGCACCATTGTCATCTCGCTCATGTTATCCATTGGGGAAGAGACATGCTGGTTCAATTCAAGTGTAAACCGAGGAGATTCAACCTTGGTGGCAAACAATTCAAGTGACTTGTCTTCCGATTGGGAAACTTTTTCCTTGTATACATCCCAATGCAAATCCGAGGTGATAGGCATACTTTTCAAGCAAGATTTGGCTCCAACTCCAACATCATACCTTCCTATTAACTTAACATCAACATTGATGTCCATCCACTTTAAGGCTAGTCTCACTTTTCTAACAACATCCTCATAGCTAGGGCTTGTATCAAAAACCAATGGTTCCTCACCTGTGTCGGCATTGTTACTCAAGAATGCCTCCTTGTCCATGTAATGAACATTAACAAGTCTCTCCATCTAAAAATAACATGAATGCATTTAAGAATTCAATGAGAATTGGTGTTTATCCAAATCATATCAACACTGAATTATTGGTGATGTCCACAAAAGTATCACTAATTTACACACACTAAGCAAAGTTAACCCTAATCACTAACTAACCATAACCCCCAATATTTCTACTCAACAAGCATATATTCCTACTACACACCATGCATATCACTATATTATCAAAGTTAACCAAGCCATTCACACTAACATAAGGGAGAAAACATGAACTAGGGTTCCACCAACATGTATAAAATGCAACCAAAATAACAAGATTGAACAAAAAATAATTGGATGATTTGGGGGAGATTACTAAGAGCAACAAAGTTATGGAAAGATCCACCTAAAGGATGCACCTTTTGGAGAGGATTTGAGGGGGAGCTTGAGGGGTGGGAGAGAGTATGAGAGCTCCAAGTCTTCTTCAAGCTCGGGTTGTGGATTGGGGAAAGTGTGTGGGATGGGTCCCACACACTCTCCCGTGGGGTTATCCAGTTACCGGGGCCAGACGCCTGGGTCCTTGGCGTCTGGCCCCTTTGCCACGTCAGCAGGTCAACGGGCAGGCGGGCAGTGCGGGCCAGGGGCCAGACGCCAGGATCCATGGCGTCTGCTTCGCAACCCAGACGCCAGGGATGTTGGCGTCTCCTAAAAAGGTCAAAAACGAATTTTTTTTGTAAACAAGGTCAAATCGGGATTTTGTTAGCCACAGATATATCTGGCCATGGGCCGGGCCTGAAAAAGCCCACGGCAGAAAACTGAGGCCCAGGCCCTCCCAGGCCCTATCACTGGGCCTGCTTTTCAAGCCCAAGCTCGGCCCATCTGGTAAAAAGCCCTAAAAAACCCTTAGGGCTTAGGGCCGTGGGCCGGGCCTCTTCCTTAAAATGCCAATATGCCAAGCCCAAGCCCATCCAGGCCCTACTGGCGGGCTCAAAAGTTAGGCCCAAGCCCGGCCCATGGGCAAGCCCATCGGGCCTAGGCCCTAGATTTTAGGGCCGGGCCTGGGTGGGCCAACAGGGCCGGGCCTGAGATGGCCAGGACTAGCCACAGAGGTCATAACAGTAATTTTGTCCATTCTTTGGCGCCTCAACTGACCTACCTCGGCATCTTCAGTCGTATGGATCTGACCCCTCCGTCACGTGGCCTGTGTGCGCTTAAGTACTCCCTCCGTCCGGAAATATTTGTCATCAAAGTAAATAAAAGGGAATGTATCTAGATGTATTTTAATTCTAGATACATCTTTTTTCGTCCATTTTGATGACAAGTATTTTTGGACGGAGGGAGTACGAAACAACTGGTGGGACGTGAAGCAGCTATTGGCTCCCGAGGATGCCGTCGTCGCACCCCGCCACAGTCACCACAGCTGCCGCCGGCCTATAGGGACGGTTCAACAACTCCCTGTTTGCTAAGTTATCTCGGCCAATTTGGTATGTTTCAATATTGGGTCATCGATCTGACAACTATGTTCATTTCTTGGATCACTTTAATACTCCCTCCGTCCGGAAATACTTTTTTTTTTTGAAACGAGCTCCGTCCGGAAATACTTGTCATCAAAATGGATAAAAAAGGATGTATGTAGAATTAAAATACATCTAGATACATCCTTTTTTATTCATTTTGATGACAAGTATTTTCGGATGGAGAGAGTAGTTAACGATTGAAGTTTCAGTATATACTCCCTCCGTCCGGAAATACTTGTCATCAAAATGGATAAAAGGTGATGCATCTAGATATATTTTAGTTCTAGATATATATTTTTTTTATCCATTTTGATGACAAGTATTTTCAGACGGAGGGAGTAGATACCTAAAGACAACACGTCTTGATTCAGCTATTATTGATAATAAGTACGTTAAGTTGAGAAGGAGCTGCTGATACCTAAAGACAACATGTCGCCCTTGGACATCGTAATTCTGTTGCGTAGGGATTTGGATCCTGTTGGTCGAATGTTTGGAGTACATATGAATTCACAACCTAACTTCTTTTCAGAAAAATAAGTCCCAGTACTTCCATGTTCCATCCTAATGATGTCACACGCATAGTAGTAGTCATTTCAGTACTTAATTCTAAGTCAGGTTCGAAGTTTCAGTAGATACCTAAAGATGGCATGTCTTGGTTCAGTCATTACTGATTAAAACTACTACATCACAGTTGAGAAGAAACTGCTGAGACCTATGATTACACAAAGGATAATAGGTGTGTTTGGGGCCATGATGATGATATTGTTTGATTGCAAATAAGTAAAAGGACAGACCCAGTGCATAGAAGCTCCCACACAAGGTGGGGTCTGGGGAGGGATTATAGGAACCTAGTCTTACCCCTGCAAAGTGCAATGCAGAGAGGCTGGTTCGAACCCAGGACCTCTTGGCACAAGTGGGGAGGACTTCACCACTGCGCCAGGCCTGCCCTCTTTTGATTGCAAATAAGTACTGGTCAAATATCTGATACAGGGTTACCACAATACTCCTGTCTTTCCATTGATGGTGCCCAAAAGCTTGCCCATCAGCAGGTAACTACTCCCTTATCTTGATCCCCGATTAAATTTCTGAAATTAAGCTTGCCGTGCTACTTATTTTCCCATACAAGTTATAGGGGTCAGAGAAATTCGGAGTTCCTGTCCTCTGTTGGTACCTCTCTCAAACTCTCACTACATTTGATTCATAACAGGTTATTTCTAATTCCACTATGGATCCATTCCTAACCCTCATCTATTATCTTGCTACTTACCATCAGGTTATCCTACTGTATTTGATTTGCTATATATTTTTTGTTATGCCTTCTATAATTATGTCCATAGATGAATCAAGGTTTGTATTATTTTCCATCCTAAGATACATGTGCTATCGGTTGTTCTTCTAGACTGTTGGTAAATTGTGAAATATGATTTACTATGTCACAACAATGAAACATAGATGTATATGGTACATGAATGGAGGTATGCTCATGAATAATGTATATCTCAGTTGGCTACTCATGTCTCGCTTAATGACAGGATGATTAGGTTTAAGTTGTCATATACTAGTAGCCATCTCATGTCCCTTTTTTCAGTGGTTAAAACTTGGCTACATGAATTTGGACATTTGTGTACAGGTGAACGAATGCTTCATCTGAAGTCACTATAGGCCAACGAAGAGTGCAAGAGTAATGCTCTTACAAGCCGACCTAACTACTGAGAAGAGGAATTCATGTACATTACTGATAAACATTTTTACGTTTGGCAAATCTTATTCCACATTTAAATCTGTAACATCAACATGTCAAATAGAAATGGATTTTTTAAACATTTCAAACCATATTTCTTTTTCATCCAATGTATGTTCTCCAAGGAAGCAAAAAAGTCCCGCAGCAACGCGCGGGGTGTTATCTAGTTACTGAGTAATGAGTGGAGCAGCTATTAGAGTAACCATCAAAATGATGATTAAAGCACCATTCCCTATCCGGTGTCAAAATCTGCATTCTAACCTTAGTTGGTTAGACCTGACAACTATAAACTTGTAATGGCTAATCATGGTAGTAGCAGAAACAAGAGACAGCGTGAATCTTTAAACACTGAAATCATATCTTAAACATTGTCTTGCAAGCAGCAGAACATTCTGAAGTACATAGGCCACTTGCCTTGACTTCAGTAGTTTTCAAAAGGGTCGGCAGGAGAAAAACCAGACCCTATTTTGAAGCTCCAAACGTAACCTCCTTGAGGATCAGAACGTGTAGTGAGCAGCACTATGGAGGTTTCACTAGCCCGTTTCATGGACCCAAGAATATCCAATTTGGATTGAACCTCTTCCATCGAACTGGGGGCAGCGGCAAACACAATCACCGCCTCCTGCAGCACCAATGCGCTCTCAAAGAAGAATTTGAGGAAGGCGAGCTCACCGCGGCCCCCTCGGAAATCGTGGAAAAACAGCAGCTTGATGCGTGACCGGATGCATTCTATGGTGCCAGATTCGTGCCAGGACTTTAGGTTCAGCTTGCCAGTGGATTGGTCATTTTTTCCAGACTGAAAATTCAACCAGTCAAATGCACATGCAGTTCATCAGCTATTGATAGCAAGTAGCAATATGGCACAGTTCAAAATATGATGCTAGTACATGATGGTGCAAATGAATGCCAATGGAACCATCAGGGGCCTCACCTTGATGTGGAGTGTCTCAACATTCGGAAAGCATTTGAGGACACCGGGAGCCATCTTGGCATCATTGCGGACTTCGAAACGCACCTCCAAAGCCAGGATTCCCACACTTGGCACCATAGTGCTCGGGCTCACCCCTGTCCCAGCCTGCAACTGCAATTACAAATTTACAATGCACCCAATTAAGAGAAGAAAGACCACACATTTGCATTGATACCCTAGGAATTTACGTTGAACCTTGAACGAAAGGGGAAATGAGGCACCTTGATGATGGTGTTGCCGACCTCTAGGATGTGCCTCTGGTCCAGCTCCAAGTATCCCAACAAGTGCAGCTTGGGGGCATGCCCAATCTTCACCTTGGTGCAGGTGCCATTAGGGGTACAACCTTCGGACTGGATGAGCCGCTCAAGGCGTGGGGCGTCCACCACGAAGATTTCTTCAAGGAAGCACCCGATGATCTGCACGCACCGGAGGCTCTGGCTGACAAGGCGGAGGCAGAGCCTGAAGAGATTCCCTTCGAGACAGAGCGTCTCCAGCACGGGGCTCCTGTCGAGGACGAAGTCCAAATCCCCGCTCTCCATGATGACGTTGCAGAGCCCGAGCTCACGGAGGTTGCCGAAGCAGGTGGCGCTTGGGAGGCCGGCCGTGTCGGGGAACTTCCAGGGGCCGAGGTAGAGGCGGGTGAGGGTGGCCATGCCTAAGAAAGTGTCGGGGAGAGTGACGTCGAGTGGCCACCGGCGGTTGACGAGGACGAGTTCCTGGATGCCCTTGTCGGCCAGGATCTGGAGCCAGCCCGTGAGCAGAGCAGGGAACTCGTCCATGTAGCAGTCGTTGAGGTGGACGCATCGGAAGGGGCCCGGGTGCGCGGCGAGGACGCTGGAGACGGCGGAGGTGGCGGGGAAGAGGTGGGCGTCGACGAGGACGAGCGGGGCGGAGCGCCAGACCCCGCGCCAGCGGCGGGAGAGCGCGGAGGTGCGGGCGGCGTCCTTTACGGGGAGGCGGGAGACGATGTTGTGCAGGAGCGCGTCGGGGAGGCGGCTGACGCGGTCGACGTCGTCGTGGGGGGGAAGGGCGGAGAGGCAAGCGGCGGCGGAGACGGGCGGGTCGGGGAGGGCGTAGTGGGCAGGCAAGTAGGTGCGGTGGAAGAGCTGATGCATCCAGTCCTCGCTGCCCAGGTACTCGCCCACTAGCTTGACCAAAGGCATGAAAAGGGGACTCGAGGTGTAGTACTCCATGGCCGCCGCCGCCGGAAGCCGCGGTGGGGACGAGGGCTTTGAGCGGCGCCTGGTGTCTGTGTCTGTGGACTGGAGCAGGAACGGCCGAAGGAAAGGGGAAATAAATGCTCCTGAGATTTTTCATTTTTAGGGATGGAACCGGGCCGATGGGAGAATATCAAGATATTACAACACTTACATGCTCCTATGCTACCAATTTTAAAAAAACGATTCAAATTTTTTTGTGAATGCTCACAACACATGTGTCTACGAACCCTAAAAATTCAGATCCAAATCCAAATCACACACAGAGAAAAAAAGAGAGACAAATTTAGCACGAATAGTGTGAATAAAGACAAAAGCATGGATAGTGTAAAAAACTTCACTATTCACAACAGAATTGTCTTTTTTTTTAATTCATATATTGAGTTTTGATATTAAGTTCTTAGGTTTTATAGACACATATGTTGTGAACATCCAAGATTTTTCTAAAAAATTGAAACATTTAAATTTGACTTCTTCGAATTGGTATCGCTGGAGCATCTAAATGTTGGTATCATCTGATATTTTCCCTTGGTTTGATATGCTCGTGGCCCACTAAATTAACCAGTCAATCATTGATTGGAATCCTGCAAAAAGGACAAGTAGTTTTTTTCCAAAAAAAAGACAAGTTGTTAATTGGAATTTATACAAGCAACCACCGGGGACATATGTGGAGAGGAGATCAGATCACTAGGGCTGTGCCGGCTGTCCTCAAGATTATGAAAGGAGAAAAGAGTGTGAAACGCATTAATGAAGCAGTGTTGATTCTAATTCTCAAGGTAATGAACCCTACACTTTTTGGCCAATTTCGACCTATATGTTTGTGCAAAAAAGCATCCAAAGTGATGTTCAACATATTAAAGCTCATCTTGCATGACATCATCTCTGTGGAACATTCAACCTTTGTTCCTAGAAAGCTATCCACGGACAACATTATTTGTGCATATGAGTGCTTATATTTTATGAAACGTTCCAAAGCCAAGTCCAAGGCTTGACATGATGAAGGCCTGACAGATTGGAGTGGACTTATATGCAGGCTATCATGACCAAACTTGGGTTTGCTTCGTTGTGGATAAACACGGTCATGGGGACGATATCTTCAATTTCTTTATCAGTATTATTCAATGGAGAAAACCTTGAGCAGTTCAAGCCTACCGGAGATATTCGACAGGGAGATCCAATTTCCCCTTACTTGTTTTTTATTGCATCAGAGGGCCTCTCGTGCCTTTGAAAATCCAATTCTCAGTCATCAATTCTAAGCGACATAAAGGTGGCACCCACAGCCCCGTCAGTGAACCATCTTTTTTTTGCGGATGATAGGTTGTTGCTTTTCAAGGCAAGTCTTGAGGGTGCAAATGCGTGTCAAACCCGTTGAACACTCATTGCAGTGCTTTGTGTCAGAAAATCAATAATGATTAGTCGTTCGTATTTTTAGTAAGGGATGCCTTCAAGACATCCGAACCAGTGTGAAAGATGTATTGAATGTCCAAAACGAGTCTCTCGGCGATAATATTTGGGCATGCCTACTGATGTTGGCCACTCAAAAAATGAGACTTGGGCCGTGTATGGGAGAAGGTGAAAGGCTGAAAAAGCTATTATCTGATCCTAGAAAGGAGGTGTTAGTCAAGGCGGTGGCTCAGGCAATTCCAGTTTATTCCATGATATGTTTCAGGCTGCCGAGGGGGTTATGCGAGAGTGTGACATCCCTCATCCAAACGTTCTGGTGGAGAAGTAGGCGGGATAAAAGGAAACCATGTTGGGTATCTTGGGACGTTATGACAAGACCAAAGCATTTGATAGGTCTTGGCTTCCATGACATGGAAATATTTAACCTTGTGTAGTTAATGAGGTAGGCTTGGAGGCCGCTGAATGAACCTATGAACCTAAGTGCAAGAATGCTTAAAGCTATATACTATGCAGAGTGCCACTAGGTCTACTAGAGAGGGATGTGAACAGGAGACTAAAAATTTTAGTCTTACTTGTGAATTTTAGGGATAAGCGGATAAATAGGGTTCACTGGATGTGCAACTAGATGAACACAACCTATATGACAAGCAAGCTTACAACAAAATATGCTAGGCAACAATCTAGATAACAAGTAATAAGCATACAAAAGCAAAGTAAAGTGTGGGGAAGGATTAAGAACAAGTGGGTCGGGGACATGGATTTTATCTCGAAGTTCACTATTCCTTGGGGAAGAGCTAATCTTCTTTGGAGCGGTGTCGGAGCCAAAACTTACGGAACATCACCGAAGGCTCATCATATTCTTCCTCTTCTGTTCACCCGACCGAGCGCACCCGACCGCACGCTCCCATCAAACCTGCTCGTCGCCCCTGGCCGCTACAACGCCGAGGAGGGATAAGGGCGCCACCCTGGCGCCTCGGGGATGCCTCCTCTCCCACTACCCTCGCCCCACTTGCTCTCCCTCTGCCCTCCCCTCCTCAGATCCGCCGAGATGCGCTCGCCTGAGCAGGCTCGTCATCGTTGCCACGCCGCGCGCGTGGCCACCGGCCCTTGTACTTCATCCGCTCGTGTCCCGGGAGGTCCTCGGCTGTCACGTCCCTAGCCTTGCTATGCACTTGGACTAACTTGGTTGCTGCATCATGTTTAAATTTCATTTAAACCTGAAATGGGGATTGTTCAAACCCTAGCACCAGATCAAATCAAATAGGTTCAACCTAAAATATTCTTGAATGAACCCAAAATGTCTTCGGAAATGTTCATGATTTTTGATAAAGGTGAAAACCTCTGCCAAAAATGATGAGCATATTTCTTGGTCATTTATGGATTTTTGAATTAACTCATAAAGTATTTGAATTTAGGCATTTGAATGCTATAAATAATTTAAATGCTCAAATAATTCTGAAACTAAATGTGGGCTGTTGCATATATTCAGAAGGTGCCCACAATTATTTTCAGGATTTTTAGAAGTGCTCTGGTATTTTTAATAAAGCCCAAACAACTACAGAAAAATAGAAAACAGAAAGAGATGAAAGGGTGAGAGAGAAAGGAAACTACCTGGGCCACCTACCTGCAGCCGCACCGGCCCAGCTCCTATTTCGGCCCAGCCCACCACCGCCTGGCTCCCTGTTGCCTTCCTCCTCGCGCCAGTAGGCAGGGGCGCGTGCCCGGCGCGCGTGGCCACACGCCGGCCACCTCCTCCCTGCCTGGCTGCCTGCTCCTCCCCCTGGACGTCTCTCGGAGTGCCACGCACCCCCCTGGACCACTCTCACTCTCTCTCGTGCTTCCCCCCTCCTTTGTTTCTCTCACGCACAGCCACCTGAATGCGCCTTCGCGCCGCTCGCCATTCCCGCGGCCACAGCCACCGCCTCGCCTCGCCGAAGCGCTCAGAAGCTCCGCCTCGACCCCCTCTTCCTCCCCACCGAGACACGCCCTGCCGGAAGCCCTGCAACGCCATCCTCGATGCCATCTTCGTCCTCTGCATCGACGGCCGCCGTTGCTCGATTCGCCGCCCACAGAGCGTCCCCGGCCTCGCCCTCGCGCTCGTTGGACTCGCGGTGAGCCGCTGACCCGTTCCCCTCTTCTTCCCATGCCGTTTGGTCGCTCTAGCCGTTGTTTCCGCCGGACCCAAAAGCTCACCGCCGCCCAGCCATGTCGCCGTCGTGGCCACCGTCACCTATAGCCGCAACCGAGCGCTTCACCGCACTCGCCGTGTCCCCAGCAGCCCGCAGCACCGCTCCGCACCTCCTGCCGTGCCTCCTAGCGACGACCCCGAGCTCGCCCGAGCTCCGGCAGCCGCCAACGTCGTCGCCGGCGTCTTTTCCGACCACCCCGAGCCCAAACACCACCACCACTCGACGCGGCAGCCCCCCAGCTTCACGTAGATGCTCCCCGCGCGCCAAATAGGGCCCTGCAGCGAAATCCCGACTCCCTCCGCCACGGATTTGGTCGCCGGCGGCTAAACGCCGGTAGCTGACGTGGCCGTCATTTGCGGTTAAACACCCCACTAACCAACCCCCCCTACGCCACTGACACCTGGGCCCCGCTGCCTAACTAACCCTGGTTTAGCTCCTGTTTAGATTAAACTAACCCCACGGGCCCCATAGGTCAGCTTGACCTGGCCACGTCACACGTTGACCGACCCCACAAGTCAGTGTTGACCCGGCTGACGTGGCTGTTGACCAGGCCCCACCTGTCATTGACACTGAACAACATTGTGTCAGTGACCAGTGGACCCCACTGGTCAGGTTTGACCTGGGTCAACCCTGTTGACTGCTGACATCACAGTGACATCACCCTGACGCAATAAAGCATTTTCTGGATTTAAGTTTATTCAGGAAATTCCAGAAAATGTCCTAAACTTCTAAAAATCATAGAAATTCAACCATAACTCCAAATGAGATAATTTATATATGAAAAATGATCAGAAAAATCCAATCTATCCATCTGTACCATTTTCATGCATGTTAGAACAACTTATGACTACTGTTTAGGACAATTCAATTAAATGGCATTTAAATAACCACATGTGGAGTTTTGAATTTGAACCCTTGGTTTAAACCAACTTCATTTAATCTGTTCTAAGTTGCATTAGCCAAAACACACTCATTTTGCCATGTCATATTCATGCATCATATTGTTGCATTGCATTGATTGTGTTTCTTCTTTGTTTGTCAGTATTTGTCCCCTCTCAGTAGACGATGTTCCGACGATGAGTTCGATGACACCGATGAAGAACTATATTATCTTCAGAAGTGCCAGGCAAGCAAAACCCCCTTGTTCATTCCGATACAATCCCACTCTCTCGCTCCTACTCTCTTTTACTGCATTAGGACAACAACGATTCATCTTATACTTGCTGCGGTAGCTGAACCCCTTTATCCTCTGCATGACCTGTCATTGCCACAGTAAATAGATGAAACCCACTAGCATGAGTAGGAGTTGTTTGAGCCCTGATGTTCCTACTCATTCATGCTTGTTTGTCATGCTTGCTACTGCTTAGAGTTGAGTCAGGTCTG